TAATATATGATAAACACAACAGAATGCTCAATAATTGGTTGCATATGGCCTGGGAAGCTTTTTCTCAATTAATGTATCATTAAGAATCAATAATGATTCTTTCTTCCTGTTGGAATTTGTGCCACTAACAGAGTTGCTACTTCATCTCTGAAAACCACAGTTGATTGATCATCTAAATGGGGACAAAGCCCAAGCAGTTGGTTAAGAATAGTTCAACGCTGGCATCACTTTTTGGTTACCTATTTTGACAAGATTAGATATTACCATCATACCTGAAAAAAACAGGTAATGGGGCTGACCCTATTCACTACATCAATTAAATATAATAGATAAACCTTTTTGTCATGGCCTCATTTTTGAAGGTTGGTTCTCTCCTTGATTTGTTTCCATCCATTGCTTCCTGTCCTGCCTTCAGGTACTTTGCACAAAAAGCGATGGGTGGAAATTAATCAAGGAGAAAACCAATCCAGAATGAAGGAGAAATTTCCTGACAGCGAGAACAATCAATCAGTGGAACAACTTGCAACTCAGAAGTTGAACAACTCAGAAGTTGTGGGTGCTCCATCACTGGAGGCTTTTAAGAAGAGACTTGGGCAACAATTTCTCTGCAATGACACAGGGCCTTCTGCTTGTGCAGGGGGTTAAACTAGAAGACCTCCAGAGTCCCACCCAACTCTGTTTATTCTGTTATACCAAGACAGGCTTAGGTTTAAGTGGATCTGTTATCAACCAGAGAGAAGCATCCCTTACCTTACAAAAGGTGAGAAAATATCCCGAGTAGCTTAAAACCTCATTCTACCTTGCCTTTGCTGACAGAAAGACACATTTATTTGATTTCCAATCAAACCTGAATACCAATCAAATGTGAGGGCCGGGCACTCAGGCTCTTAAAATAGCCAGGAAAAACCTTGCAAATCCGCTGAAGCAGTGGTGGTACCATGATCACTGGAGGCTTTCAAGAAGAAACCAGACTGCCATTTGTCAGAAATGGTGTAGGGTCTCCTGCTTGGGTGGAGGGGTTGGGCTAGATGACCTCCAAGGTCCCTTCTGTTATTCCGTTAAATCTCTTAAATCCTTCTGATACTCTCTGTGGAAACCCTTCACAGATCTACACCAAGTTACTGTTCACCATTTTTCGTCTATTGTCCGAAGGTAAACTTCACATTCCTTGGGTTTTAGCAAACCGGTGATATCTAAAAGGAGTATTTATGGCAACAGAACTCAACAGTGGAGATATGCTAAACACTCACCTATGGCATTTCATGCCGCAGCAGTAAAAGAGCCTCAGGTCAATCGGTGACCCCAGCAGCTGCTGCTGCGTCCTTTCCGTGCGCAAAGGGGAAATTTTCTACCAACCGCTCTTAAAGTTCTAGTGACAAAATATCTTTATGGGGAGCTCAGGATGGGAGAGTCTAGGAGGGCTTGCTTGGAAGCTGGACCACCAAGGTCAATTGGGGAGCTGTGTGACTGTCCGTGCTTGGCTCCCGATTAAAGAGAAAACTCCAAAATTATACTGTAACAAAATCCGCCGCATATAAAGAAAACCAATACAAGATGTTTAACCATTGGCATTTAGCTCCAACAAGACTTGCAAAGATGTATCCCAATCTAAACCCTAATTGCTGGAAATGTGAACAAGCGCAATGTACCTTCTTCCATGTCTAGTGGCTATGTCCGGAAATTAAAAAAAATATTGGATCAAAATACAAAAATAGTTAAATGAAATCCCCCGCTGTCGAATAGAATTGAAGCCTGAATTATTTTTCCTGGGGATCATTAAGGGAAAATAGCCCAAAAAGATTAAATACTTGATTATACATGTTATCATGGCAGCGAGAATTGCACTAGCACAAGCCTGGAAAATGGCCACCATACCGACAGGTTGTTTAATAATCCATAAAACTTTTGAGTGTGCAGAAATGGATAAACTCACTATAGAATTAAATAACAAGGAAGACTCGGAATATTATTCAATTTGAGATAACTGGTATCAATGGATAGATAGTAGGAATATGAAATGTATAGGTTAGAAATAAGATTAAAAAATTGTATATGTGTATGATTAGTTAGAAACTGTTGAAATGTATATTTGAAATGTATGAATATAGCCAGGATTTTTCTACTGTCAAAGAATGATGGCAAATTGTACAAATTTATTTTCTTTATAAACGTATTTGTATTTTAATATTTTAATCTCAATAAAGTTTGTTTTTTTAAAATTTAACACAAATAAATAAAGAGAAAATTCCTCCCAGGCACTCAGCACTCCTGGATTGTGAGGGGGAAGCCTGATCTCACGTGGTTTCCCAAAGACCTTCTCAAGTTATGACTTGCAGCTCTTTGGAGCAGGGGTGTCAAACTCAAGGCTGGGGGACCTGATCCGGCCCACGGGGTGCTTAGATTTGGCCCGCGGGTCCACCCTGGAAACAGTGAAGGACCAGTAGGCAGTGCCTCTGCTAGCGAAAATGAAGCTTGGGAGGGCTGTGTGCGGCTCTCCTGAGCTCCATTTTTACTGGCAGAGAGTTGCAGGAGGCCGTTGCGGACAAAAACGGAGCTCGGGAGTCCATTTTCACTGGCAGAGCACTTAGGCCGCCACAGGCGCCCCCGATACGAGTGACATCAAGCTGGCCATGCCCACCCCAAGGTCAAACACAACCCTGATGCGCCCCTCAATGAAACTGAGTTTGACATCCCTGCCTTAAGAGAGACTAGTGTATGACGGTGGAGGTTCGGTCTCCAAGTTTGAGGGTTGGTTTCCGAACGTTTCAATACCAGGCTGAGCCACATCTTCAGCAGCAGCACATCTTCTTGTTTATAAAGACTTCAGGTGCGGGTGGGTCAAGTGAGGGTCTTGTGATGGGGAGGTTACGTCAGTTGAGGGTCACTGGAGGGTGAACTGCTGGTTGGGGTGGACTTGCATGGATTGGTTGAGGGTCAGTGCCGTCTCTGGTTGTCTGTGGGGTTGATTTGTACTCTGAGGAGTTCTTAGGTTGGATGTAGGTCAACACACTGGTGGGCTTCTGCTGGTTCAAACCGGTTCTAGCAAACCAGTAGTTCCGACCATCAGCTGGCCCCACCCACCTGCACCCACCCTATCCTGTCCTATATTTTCATCTTTGTCAACTCAGCAGATTCGCATGGCACAGATTTCCATGGTCAACTGTTCTACTTAACGGGGCTGCCCTAGAAGGTAAGCTGTTGAGGTTAAAATCAGTGTTTTTTTAGCAGTGTGCATGCTCACCAAACCATTTGTTAAACCAGTTGCAGTCCACACCACTGGGTCAACGTGTCTATTGATGGGATTGACCTACATTCGCCTACACACAGCTTACAAGCCCCTCAGAATCCAAATCAACCCCACAGCCAACCAGAGATAGTACTGACCCTCTGTTGTGGTCTGCCGGAGGCCTGCAGAGCTGGCAGCAAAGTCGGACCATGGGGAGGAGCATGGGGCAGTCCTGGAGTCTGGGGAGGACCTGGACGAGGGATCTGCATCCGACAGAGATGAGGCCAGGGCCATCTGATAGTTATGTGCTGACTCCAGAGCCTCCAGAATTTGACATCCAAGAGGCAAGAGGAACAGGAAGAGCCTGTTCCCAGTGTGCGCTTGCGCAGAGCTGCCAGAAGGCAAGAGCAGTTAAGACAAAAGGGGTGACTTCGGAGTAAGGCTTGGAGATGATTGGCCTCTCCCATAAGACATAAAGGAGGAGCAAAGGGACAGGAGCCTTTGCAGGAAGCAACTTTGTTCGTTCTGGTCAGTTTAAAATCTGAAGCTCCGTGTTGACTTTGTGCTCCGTTTGGCCTTGTACAGCTAATTGGCAATTTAGCCATTGGCAGCATTTCAAGGGAGATAAAGGTGGGTGCTTATCAGCCTTATCCCGAAAACACCGTGGCAGACTTCCATGGGACTATTCACAAACTGTTTGAGACTCATTATGGGCTGTGAATGCATAATGTGCCACTCAACCGGATTTTTTTTTTTTTTGATACATTCTGAATTTAGGGAGAAATTGTGAAAAAAAATGGGGAGGAATGATCTGATTAAAGAAAAAAAGAGACGAGAAAATTCACATGCCAGAGTACTAAATACAATCGGAAGGAAGGGAGAGAGGGAGGAAGGGAGGGAGAGAAAGAAAGGAGGGAGGGAGGGAGGGAGGGAGGAAAAATGAATGAATGAATGAATGAGAATAGTATATGCTAGATCTTCAACACATATTAAAGGAGTAAATAAAACAAACATGAAGTGCAGAATTGCAGAAAAAGTCTAAGAGATCAAGCGTGCTGCTCAGATCCTTGGGGGGTATGGCACATGAAGCAAAGGATGGCCCAGGTGAACAGCTTTTGGTGACAAGGACCCCCTGCTCACCTCGCTCCCTTCTCCTTTCTGGAATCCACCCCACATGACAGCACAAGTCACAGAATTGATGAGGCAGAAGGAACCTCTGAAGGCATCTAATCTAATCTGCTCAATGTAAGAATCCCCAGCAGGTGTTCGTTCCATCCAGTCCCCCTCTGAATGTTTCCAGGGAGGGGGCAGGCCATCACAGCCCTTGTTTCACACCTCCCTACCTTATTCAGCCCAAACCCTTCATACAGTGCAAGGCAGTATTTCTCAACCTTAGCGACTCTTGAGATGCGTGGCCATCAAACTGCTGAGGATTTCTGGGAGTTGAAGTCCACATCTCAAGGAGTTGCCAAGGTTGAGAAACAATGGACCAAACCCTAATCCAAATGAAGAGGTGAAGGTACCCACTCAGTTTTCAAGAAGGCCACAAGAAGCCCCCTAGGGCCGTGATGGTGAACCTGTGGCACATGTGCCCAAAGTGGCACACAAGGCCATGTCGCCTGGCATGCACAGCGTTGCCCATTTATCTTCTGGGTTTCTGGTGCGCATGCACGCATGACAGTCAGCTGTCCTTTTGCCCTGCATGCCAGGGCAAAAACCGGTGTGTGTGTGCATGGATGCCAGCCGATTGTTGGGTGCACATGTGCGCCAGAACCCAGAAATTCAGCTTTTCCGGAGCGCAATCCCTTTGTGCATGCGGCAGTGCCAAAAACCAGCCTGGGCATGTGCACCAGCCAGCTGATGGTCAGGTGCGCATGTATAACTCGGAAATTTGGCTTTTCAGGAGCGTGGCACTGAGCGCGCATGTGCAACATTTCCCCATGAACTTTTCAGCACTTGATGCTGAAAAGGTTCACCATCACTGACCTAGGAATACAGAGCCAACACCCAAAAGAACTAAAATTACAATTTTTTTGCTGTTTTGCTTTAAATTGTTATTTTTAAAAAATGTTCTAATAAGCCTAATGGACATTCTGGACAGCTTATTATTTTGCCACCAAATTATAATCCTAGGATGGACAGCTGAGGAACAGCTAAACCAGGTTAAATCCCCCTCCAAGCTCAGAAACAAGAGTCAGGCAGCAGAAGTGGGTCCAGGCAGAAGACAAATGACATCCAGGAATGTCCATCAGGGAATAGAAGTTGCCAGCAGTAACCAAGTTAAAACTGATCTGGAATGCATTCATTCAATTTTACAGTTCATTTATTGCATTCATGTCTTGTCTTTCCTTTGGGGACTCTAAGTAGCTTACAAAGAGGGAGTCCGTCATTTTATCCCTAGAAATTATCCTAGGATTTCCATTCTGCTAGGAGATCTTAGCCTGTCTGTTATCCCAAAGGTGCTTTTTCAAGAAGCGACTGGACTTTGTTTTCCCTTGAAGACATTTCGCTTCTCATCCAAGAGGCTTCTTTAGTTCTGACTGAATGGTGGAGAATGGAAGGATTCCCCACCATTCAGTCCGAACTGAAGAAGCCTCTTGGATGAGAAGCGAAACGTCTTCAAGGAAACACAAAGAAAGTCCAGTTGTCTTGTGAAAAAGCACCTTTGGGACAACCATGACCTGGATGGCTGACAATCTCCGTAGACATTTGACTGGTCCATTAATTGGACCGGAACCGATGAATTTTCCTATGGGCTTTTGATTGGAACAAAAATTATTTGGTTCATTAGTTCCCAGCATGGGAACATATAGTAACTGAAACGCAAGTACTTTAAATACAAAACGGGGCTTATTGTAGGACTGAATTGGTTCCTTAAGTATTCTGTTGAAAGAAAATCTGATTGTGGATTGGGAAACTTAATACTAATATTAGGGAATAATTTATATGAAAAATAATGTAGACACATCTTGATCCTTAGGACTGGCAAACAAGCCAATGAACAAAAAACTACGGCTTAGGTTGAGGAAGCGAATACTGTAAATTGTAAAATGATCCATGTACAAAAGGATGGAGTTTACATTGGGATGTAGCAACACATATTTCATCTTTTTGGCATCACTGTGATTAGGAAAGGACGCCTGTATCTCGACCTGAGAAAAATATTTCACACTAAACAACTTGATTAAAAAGTGAGCTGAGTCAGTTCACAAGTTAGACCCACAACTGGCTTGAAAACAGAATTTAGCACAATTGAATAGCTGGTAGGACATGTTAAGTAGAGGAACAAGGATGTGCAATAAATTGATTTTTAGTTACAAACACTCCCATTCCGTGTCAAGCTATTTGTTAATTGTTCAAAACTGGAAGTGATTCTTTCCCAGAGTTCTTTTTTAACAAGATTTATTGAGATGAACGGGGTGGAGTTAAAAGAACCACAACTGTTATTATTTTCAATTTAGAAGTAATATATCCTTACGTACAACTACAGCAGAGATATTATAATTTCCTTCTAATAGCCTTCCTGTTTCCCCTTCCACGCCATTTTTTTTGAAAGTGCCAAATTTCCAAAATTAGGTTTGGGTCATGACCAAATCGGGTTGCGACCAAAGTTATGGAACAAGTATAGTTGTGACCAGAGGTTCTACTGTATTATATTGTACTAAAGCCACTAAATCTAAGTTGCAAGAGTAACATATGCTCACTAGATGGCAGCAAAGAGATATGTAAAGCACTTATTCATGGCAGCCAGCTAGGGGTCATCTGAATTTATGAAGCCCAAATTTGGTAGCCCTAGATAAAATGAAAATTGGAATACAATAGAAAATAATAGAGATTTGGCTCAAAATCTTATTTCCCTTGATTTTTTTTCCCCTAAGAGGCCACAAAGATAGAATGGTTATCTTTGTCTTAGAAGTATCAATGATCCAATCTACAAATGGCACAGATTTTTATTGTTTTTTAGAAAAACTAGTCCAAAAGTTGCTTTTTTTCAAGAGGCAACTGGACTTTGTTTTTTTTTTCTTTGAAGGGATTTTGCTTTTCCTCCAAGAAGCTTCTACAGCTCTGACTGGATGGAGGGAAATTGAATGATTTATATTCCTTGCAGACAGCTGGTTATTTGCATCCTTTTAGAGGGTCGTTGAGGCCACTTGGTGGCTTATCTCTGTCCTCAGGATCACTTCCTAGTGGCCTCAATGACTCTCTAAAAGGATGCAAATGACCAGCTGTCTGCAAGGAGTATAAATGCTTCCACTCCCCACCATCCAGTCAGAGCTGAAGAAGCTTCTTGGATGAAATGTGAAACCCCTTCAAAGAAAAAAAACAAACAGAAAGTCCAGTGGCCTCTTGAAAAAAGCACCTTTGGGACAACCACGACCTACCTGGATGACTGAGAATCTCCACAGACATTTAGAAAAAATAGTGATTGTTTTTTTTTAAAGTCCAATTGGAAGCAATAGAAGCAAGCAACAATTTAGCCATTCCCGCATATCACTCCTTGCTGCACTTGTGTGTCTATCCATCCTAGAGATTTTTTTAAAAAACCCAGCTCCTTAACTCTTCCATAAATATTAACACAACAAAGCAATCAACCTTGTGACAGCACACATCATTTACCAACTTTGGATCCCCTGTCCGGTTGCCTTTGCCAATGGCTATTTTACTCACTTCAAAGTCACCCTGCTGTAGGGCAGGCACCCCACTGCTAGTGATCAAGGCCATTTGCTTGCTTACTTACTGGTGCTCCCCAGTAACACAAACAGCTGCCTGATGCCAGGGTCTCTCTCTCTCTCTCTCTCTCTGGCTTGTCCTTTACAGAAAAGATCAAGAAGCACAGCGGTCATCTCCAAGACAAAGCCTGAAGCACGTCCAAAATAACGTCACCCTCGGAGCTGCCACGTCCCTCTTTCTGCAGGGACGGCTATTCCAACTGACAAGGGTTCCTGAACCAACAGCTCCCTTGTCCTCCTCACGCCAATTGCTGTTAACTGGACTGCGTTTATTGCCTCCCCTTCTTCCCCTACTCTGGGTAGACAATCCTCTCCTTCAACAAAGCTTCCTGATGTACCCTCATCTACTTAAGTTAGCAGGGGGGCGCGGAGACTCAGTGGTTAAAGATGCTGAGCTTGTCAGCTGAGAAGCTGATGGACCATTCGAGGCCCGAGTGCCGCACGACAGGGTGAGGTTCCGTTCCTCGCTCCAGCTCCTGCCCACTTGGTTCAAATGCATGCAAATGCAAGTAGATAAATAGGTACCACTTTGGTGTGAAGGTAACAGCCTTCTGTATGACTTGGGTGTATAGTCATGCTGGGCGCACGAGGATGGAAATTGTCTTAGGATAATGCTGGCTGCCTCAGTTAAGAAACAGAGATGAGCACTGACCCAAAGAGCTGGACATGAGTTGGACATGAGTAAACAGAGAAATCTTTTTAGTATTTAGTTAACTGGTGAAGGGTAAAGTAATGTATCTGGGGCACCAAAATCCAATTCTATGCAATAGTAAGATTTGTGGTAACAGTGACTAAGAAAGAAAGGGATCTTGCAGTCAGAGTGACCTGTCCGTGAAAATGTCCATGCCATCTACAGATACTCTCAGAAAGACAATTTTTCATGTCTGGAATGCTTAGACAGGGAATTCAACATGGAATCCAGTAGAATCCTTGTAGCTCAGGGTTGAACTGTGGCTTGGCGCTCTCTGAGCTTTGTTGTTTGCAGCCATTTCTTTACCCAACCAGGTTACATATCAGGGCTAATGAGTATGGAGTTAGCTGCCTGTTTATATACAGGTTGCCCTGCCAGTTTTGGTGGGTGTATGATTGTCTCCTTGATAAACTACCAGTAAAGCAAGGCCAGAGGTGGTCTTCAGCAGGTTCTGACCAGTTCTGGAGAACCGGTAGCGGAAATTTTGAGTGGTTCAGAGAACTGGCCAATCCCACCTCTGACTGGCCCCGCCCCCATCTATTCTCTGCCTCCCATTGAGTCCCAGCTGATTGGCTGGGTCTTCTTTGGTTGCCCCGCACAGGAGAACGGAGCTGGAAAGCAGGTTAGTGGGGTGGGGAGGGGGATTTTACAGTATCCTTCCCCTGCCACGCCCACCAAGCCAAGCCAAGCCACGCCACGCCCACAGAACCAGTAGGAAAAAAATGTGAATCTCACCACTGAGCAAAGCCCTTATTCAAAACCACAGGGAAATTATCCTAGGAATATCGCCCAGTTCTGGTCCTCATGCCATTAGACAGCTAGGAAAACTGTAAAACAGGGCAATTAAAATCATTTGGGGTGAAGCCACTTCCTGACATGGAAAAACTTAGCAACTGGGAGGCTTAAGCTCGGAACAAAGGAGTTTTAGGCAGACACAAGAAATAAAATAAAAAAAATCACACCTTCTCTGAACCCAACCTTGCCATTGATTGAATTGCAGTGCTGGAAGACCGAGGATCAGCAAAACAGCAATGTTTAGAGCACCATGCATAGGTAGACAGTTACGATTATGGCAGCCAAGTTGGATGCAGACAGATTCACAGGGGGTCAGGCTCTTGGCAGCAACTAGAAGGGATGGCAGTTTCCCTGCTCTTTTGAGTAAAGGTCATTAGAATAACAACAGAATAACAGAGTTGGAGGGGACCTCGGAGGTCTTCTAGTCCAACCCCCCGCTATATCATTCCAGAGAACTGGCTGTCCAGTCTCTTCTTAAAACCTTCCAGTGTTGGAGCATTTACAACTTCTGAAGGCCAAGCTGTTCCACTGATTAATTGTTCTGTCAGGAAGTTTCTCCTTAATTCTAGGTTGCTTCACTCCTTGATTAGATTCCATCCGTTGTTTCTTGTCCTGCCTTCTGGTGCTTTGGAGAATGATTTGACCCCTTCCTCTTTGTAGCAGCCCCTCAAATACTGGAAGACTGCTATTGTATCGCTCCTAATCCTTCCCTTCATTAGGGTAGACATAACCCAATTCCTGCAACCCTTCTTCATACATTTTAGCCTCCAAGCTCCCTAATTATCTTAATTGCTCTTCTTTGCATTCTGCTTAGAATCTTAGCGCCTTTTTTGCAATGTGGTGACCAAAACAGGATGCGGTATTCCAGAAGGGCTCTTACTAAGGCTTTATAAAGCGGTACTAATACTTCCCGCGATCTTGATTCTACCTCGGTTAAGGCAACCTAGGATTGTATCGCCTTGCAGACTGCCCACCAGGAAGTGACCGGAAGGGAGGCCTCTGGCCCCCAGTGCAGTCCAGGACTCTGGTCTCGAATGACCAAGGCCCCGATGTGGTTGCCGCAGGAAGAAACAAGCATTTCCAAGCATTAAGCCTCTGTTGCAGCTGCTGCTGCTGCAGCTTCCCCCTCGATCCAGAGGCCTTGACTCCCCCCACCCACCCACCCTGACCTCTCCCCCCCTCCCCTGGAGTCGCTTCCCTCTCTTTCTCAATCATGGCTGTGGACAGGTGGGGCGCAAGGTTTGGTTACAGAGGCTTAGAAAATCCTTTGTGCGGTCAAAAATTAGAAGGCAGCGAGGTAGCCATGAAAGGGAAAGGGAGAGAAGGAAGGGAAGCGGCATTCTTGGGTAAGCCCGGCTCAGATCTGTGGCTTCTGCAAAAGATCTGAGAGGAAACGCAACACGAGCATGACTTTGGTGAGGGGCAAGGAAGGAAACTATAAATGGCACCATGACCGCATCGTTGGGAAAGAGAGAGAGAGAAAGAGACAGAGAGGTTGAGAGAGAGACAGAGAGGTTGAAAGAAATAAGAGAGATTGAGAGACAGGTTGAAAGAGAGACAGAGAGATTGAGACACAGAGAGAGATTGAGAGCGAGGCAAAGAGACAGAGGTTGAAAGACAAGAGAGATTGAGAGAAAAATTGAGAGATTGAGAGAGTCAGACAGAGATTGAGAGACAGAGATTGAGAGAGAGAGAGACAGATTGAGAGAGGAGTGGGAGCAGTTTGAAAAAGGGAGAAGGTTGAAATGGTTTTGAAGGAGAAGTTTATTTTCTGTTAATGCAGGACAAGCACCAGGGCCGACCGCCAGAGGATTCAGGTGAAAGAAAAGCTATCCCCAAAGGGGTTTCTTTGACAGGGATGAAGTAAGGGAAGAGGATTCCCACCCCCCTTCCAGTCGTTGGAAAGAAATTCTCCAGCAAAGGAGTGGTGGCTTGGGTGTTTTAAAATGGCTTGTTTTGCAACGTGGCAAACCGCATCACGGTTGCATGGCGAGAGAGGGAGGGGGTAGACAGAGAGATGATGATGATGATGAGTGGACAGGGACCAATAGCCAGGCAGGGTCCCATCCTCCATGACAGTCAGTGAAACCGGGATATGGTCCTGAATAGTGCAGCTCAAGTGCTTAGGCCATGGAAAAGGCCGCCCTTTGATGTGCAAGAAGGGAATGAGTGAAAGGCCAAGTCCACAGGTGATGCTCCAATTAATCTGATTCATCGCTAAAACGCCTTTGCGCAGGAATCTTCTCAACTAACAGTTAGCACCTGCTTGATAAAAGTCCATGGAATTCAAGGAAGGTTGGGCTCAGTCCGCTTGTGACTACACAGGGATTCTAGGCTGATCCCTCTTTTGACTCTGCCTCCAGGTTCTGCCACCGTTTCTCCTACATTTTGTGCCTGATTTTTCAGGGTGATGGGGGGGCGGGGAGGCACTATAGATCCGAAGATGGTATTCCTTGCATACCGCAGATTAAAAGGAATCTTTTCTCCATAAATATTGACTGCAGCTGAGGATTAGAGCTGTGAGAAGAGAACGAGACCCTCAAAGGCAAACTCTGACCTTGATGGATTACATTCCCTCTGGAGGGGGATCAGCTAACTCATCCTTACAAACCTTTCCGGCCAGATCTCAGTGAGGTAGGCAAGGATTAGTTTGATGATATCTACAATACCTGGTAAAACCCTTGATGTTATATTCTATCTGTGCAACTGGAAAGGGTGTTACTGGGGAAGGCCAGGGGTGAGAGGCCCTTGGTGCTCTCTTGAGCTGGCTTGTTTTCTTGCAGACCTTTCATTACCCTAAGTAGGTAACATTGTCAGTGAGCACTCTGAGATAGGCACAGCCCGTCGCTTCCAACTTATACGAGGATGACAAATATTGTGCCTGTGAGAACTCAGGGACTTTGTGTACACATTCGTGCCAAGAAGGGATGTGTGGGCCTCCAAGAAATTGTTGGCTGTCCAATTCAATACCATTAAATTATGCAATGTAATGTGTGTCTGCACGCAGGTGAGTGGTGGGCGAATGTGTGAAGAGTTGGGTGAAGAAGGGAAATTAGTGGCTTTGTTCATCAAAATGGCCTTTTCTCCATTTGGGGAGCCAACTTTGTTTCTACAGCCTCCACAGATTCCATTATATTTGTCCTCCACCTTCTCTAGACCAAGGTCCTCCAACCTTAGCAACTTTTAAGATTTGTGGACTTCAACTCCCAGACTTCAAAGTTACAACGGCAATGAAAAAAGTGACTTATGACCGCTTTTCACACTTACGACTGTTGCAGCATTAACCCCCAGCTGCAGTCAATACTTATGGAGAAAAGATTCCTTTTAATCTGCGGTTAATCATGTGATCAAAATTAAGAAGCCTGGCAACAGACTTATATTTATGATGGTTGCAGTCCCCCAGGGGGTCATGTGATCCCCCTTTGCGACCATCTGACAAGCAAAGTCAATGAGGAAGCCAGATTCACTTAACGGCCAGGTGACTAACTTAACAACTACAGCAATTCACTTAACAATTGCATTGAGAAAGGTTGTAAAATGGGTCAAAGCTCACTTAACAAAGGCTTCACTCAGCAACATCAATTTGGGGCTCAACTGTGGTCATAACTCAAGGACTATCTGTATTTAAGCGAGTCATGTTTCAGGCAGAATAGGGACCACTGATCCCCAAACGTGGCAAAAAAAATTCAGTGGAGTTTGCTTAGTTCTTAAATCCTATGGACTGATCAAAAGCATCTTCAGAACTTATGACAATTTGGAGATGTCTTTTCAACAGTTCTCTCTGCTCGTGCATGAAATAAAAGGCTGCCTTTTCATGTAAAACATGCTCAGGCTGTTTCTTTGACAGTGGAAATTGGTGGCTTCTATTATTACAGCCCTGCACAATTACCAAGTTGAAAATTACTTACTCAGCTGTAGTTTTACAACTAAATAAACCTCTGGCAGCATCAAACTATTTAATTGGTCCCTTAAAAATAGAGCAGGTAATATTTCTCAGGAATAAGCTCAATGCTCCGTGACTTTTTGGATGTTCTCCTGGAAGAATTAGGGAAATCGTTTGCCACTGCTGACTTCTAAAATGTTTTTTTGAGTTCCCAATCTAGTCTGCTACTTTGGATTTCCTGTAGTCTCTCATCCCCAAAAATCTTAGGTGATTCTAACTGAGCTTCACAAATCCAAAAAAGCCACCAGATGTCAGCAAAGAGTTGAGAATTTTGTTCTTTGCTGCCACCTAGTGTTAATCTGTGTTTTTGCAGCTTTGATATGGCAGTCTGAACTATTGAGGTTCAATCCAACTTAACTTTTCAAGGCTTTGTTACAGTCTTTCCTAAACACTGAAACTAATTATTCAAATATGTGGACCCTGAAATTAAAAAGTCGATCCTTTTGAACAATAACAAGTTGATTTCAGAAATTTCTTTTTAAAAAGTGGCAAGCGAAGGAAAAAATGACTGCAGGATTTATTATAGGCCAGCTGCCAAATTAGAGGATATGGATCAGGCCTTTGGAAATCCACATACCAAGTTGTCAAAAAGGCAAGAGAGCCTATCAACTATCCCAAGATTGCCAGACATCCAGCCCAATTACCAGTGGGAAATTTGACAGATCCCACTGGTTTCCTCTTCTGACAATTTCAAGTTTTTGGAGAACAAAGAAGGATGCCCTACCTAAAAGAGAGGAATTGGTCATGGACTGAAGATCTCAGGTTTTATAAATTGGATGAATAAATAAAATCCCAGGGAAAAGAAACACATCACAATGGCCATCAAGACAACTCAGATGGGAAAGGTTAAAAGAAGTCAGTCATGTATGTCAGACTTCCAGAAATAAAAGTTAACAAAGCAAAGGGTGTTGACCAATAAAAAATAAACGTCTCCATTCAATTAGTTGGAATACGCTCAACATCAGGATGTCTTATGTCTAGGTGCATAAGGGCAAAATTGGGAGAAATCTGACTTCACAGCAAAATGTGTAAGAACACTCGACACTCTACTCTGCTGGACCGCCAATTGAACATCAACAAGAAGTATGCAATGACAATGCCCACTCCAACTGCACTAATACAACTACGGTACTTCGTTCAGATTATGTCTACAAATAATGAGAAGGATGTCAAGTCCAAGAGGATAAGGCCCTCCCTTCTGATGAAGCTAAAACCGGGATAACTATAACTAGGTAAAAATGAAAAGAAGCAAGATTTGGATTAAGTTTGAGAAGCTGTTTCCTGAGGGTAAAAGCTGATAAGCGCTGCCTTTGATCTAACAAACCTAGATTCTCCTCCCTCGGGACAGTTTTTCAAACAAATTCTGGATGGATCTCCTGGGAGATCATTTGGTGGAGGTTTACATTGGACCAGATGACCTTCAAAATCCTTCCAACTCCTACATTTTAAGATTGGACCAGTTAGCCTATTGTTGGTCCTGCAAAACAACACAAGTTGACTTTTTTGTGTTATTTTTAAGTGCTACCGGGCAATATGTTCATTAATCTGGGATTTTTATAGCCCAGTTCAAATATTTATCAAGAGAGAATGCTTCCCATGCTAGCTGGATGCTATAGTTAAGTCTCCACCCTGCTGATTACACACATTCCAAAAATGTAAAATGCTGTATTTGATATTTACAAAGTACATTCTCGTGTAATGTGTACACACAATATTTTCAGTAAAATAGTTATCATCTTCTGATTTTTTTAAAAATGCTGTCATCTGTTTACTTTGCAACAGATTCGGAAGTTAATTCCTCAGCTAATGGATACCTATTAGCTCAGCTAATGGATATCTATTTCAGTGAGATTGAAATACATAGATTCACAAGAGGGCCAAGATAAATCCACTTTTAATGTTGTTTAGTAGTCCAAGCCTACTTGTTAGAGAGAGACTGGGAGAGCTGGAGGAGTCAAGCAGGGAATTCGTCTGGAATCTCTACACGGGCACAAAAAGGCAAAGTGAATGCTTCAAGATGCAGTGGTTAGTGTTGTACTACAGGCCACTTCTGCTGACTATCGGCTGCCTGCAATTTGGCAGTTCGAATACCAGGTTCAAGGTTGACTCAGCCTTCCGAGGTGGGTAAAATGAGGACCCAGATTGTTGGGGGCAATTTGCTGACTCTGTAAACCTATTTAGTATTCCATCCCATGTTTATGAAATGTTGATTAAAAATCATCCAGAAACGTGTTTTCCTAAACGGACTTTAAAAATGCACATTCCCCTTGAAAAAAAATTGTAGAACTTTCGCGAATCTACATTCTTTTATGAATGCAACTTCCACACATTGGGTAGTGTGAATTTCAAGAAAAAAAAATTGTCAAGAGTTTTTGACGAGATCAGTGGATTGTGGCCAACAGATAGATACATGTGTACTGTTGTAGTAGTGTTCATTTGGGGGCAATTAAAAGCTGTCCACATTAAAAATGA